CGCCGGAGCCTAGGAGCGCAGGCCGGTCCCGGCGCCCGGGGACGGGCAGCGTGGGGGCGCCATGTGGTTCATGTACGTGCTGAGCTGGCTGTCGCTGTTCATCCAAGTGGGCTTCATCACGCTGGCCGTCGGTGAGAGTGCGCGGCCCGGGCTCCTGCTCCGGCACCTGTACTTGCCCAGGGTTGCATCGCGGGGTGTATGGAGAGAGTCGGGGTCCCTGGGCGGCGGCTCTGGGTTCACCTCCCGGCCTGCCGCATCTTGCCCCTGCTGCTGAGCCCAACAGCCTAGCCGATCCGCGGGTCCTGCCAGATGTCACAAAGTCCGCCCAGCAGTGCCCGGGAAGGGTGACTTAAGTGTCTTGGGCGCCCCGCGAGCTGCCAACCGCTCCTTCGCTCGCGACCCCACCGCGCCGAACTTTTCCCCAGCACCTCCTGCCGTTCTTTCCCTACTGGCTCTTTGTACTTGCCGCTCTCCTCCTTTGACACTTCACCCACTTCAGGCTGGTGCCTCCTGGATTTTAATTGAGGTCTCGCCTCCCCCGGGAAGCCTTCCGTAGAGGTCTGATGATGGTGCAGCAGTACCCAGTACTTGTCCTAAAGTAATCTGGGGATTGTCAGGGTCCCTGCTTCCCATCCCTCTCCTCAAGCTGGGTCGGGGGAAGAACCTTGTCTGTCTTGTTCTGCTGTTTCTTACCACTTGGCCCAGGACCTGGCCCATACTAAGTGCCCCGCAGGTATTTATTGAATAAGTGAATGAAATATACTTTTTGGGCCAGAGGTGAACTTTGTGTTGAGTCTAATGCAGACTTCCATTCATTTTGCCCTGATAAAGTTCCCCTTCTCCAGACATGTAAGGGCAGCACTTGGGTTGTTGGGAATGACCAGGCTGGTGGGAGTGACCTGAGCTGATATTCTTCCTGCTTGCTCTTTTTTGCCATCCCCCAGCCGCTGGACTCTACTACCTGGCAGAACTGATAGAAGAATACACAATGGCCACCAGCAGAATCATAAAATACATGATCTGGGTAAGTGGCTGCTTTCCCCAGGATTTCTCTCACTCTTTTGCCCTGTCTCAGGAACAGAAGGTGGGGAGAGTTTGGCCTGCATGGTAAGAGCCCCGCCTCTGCTGTTGCCTGAGGGTATCACTCCTACACGCCCCCCACCCCTGCTCTGTCTTTTGGGTCTGCATTCCTGGAACCAAATCTTTCCAGGTCTCCTTTCCCAAGTGGCACTGCTTCCCTGCAATCCTTTTCAGTTGCTCAAGGTACCAGCCTAGTGTGTGTTCTTGTTGACAGGCCCCTTTGCTTTGTTGTTTCCCATTGGCTCTAGCCCCTTGCCCTGCTCCCAGTGTTTAGAATTTAGTGGAACCTAAGGACAGTTCTGAATGCTTTTTTATTGCCCTTTTTCTATTTGGATTTAAAGGGAGCACCTCTGGCCCTGCCCTCGCCTGGCATCAGGGGAGGCTTCTATTCCTGAGGATTTATCATAGCCACTGATGTCAAGGGCCCAGGAGTGACTGTTGGTGCACAGATTTCTGCCAGCTGAATGTGTCTCTTGGGGTGGCTGTAGAATCTTTTTTTTTTAACTGGGGGCTGCTATCAAAATTTTGAGAAATGGCATTTAAAGATGCTCTTCTTTGCGAGCTAAGAGTCTAGCTGGGAGACCCAGGCCTGGGACTATGAAACGAGAAGATGAAACATGAACCTAGTGCTGCCCAGAGCAGGATGGGGTTAGGGAGTCTGGGCAGCTGCCTGGAAGGGCTCTCTGCACTGTGTCTGGTTGTTTCAGTTCTCCACAGCTGTGCTGATTGGCCTCTACGTCTTTGAGCGCTTTCCCACCAGCATGATCGGTGTGGGCCTATTCACCAACCTCGTCTACTTTGGCCTCCTGCAGACCTTCCCCTTCATCATGCTGACTTCACCTAATTTCATCCTGTCGTGTGGTGAGAGGGTACAGAGTGGGAAGGGGGGCAGCTCACGTGGTTGGATATACCTAGCTCAGTCCTGGGCATTCAGGGGATACAGAGGAGGAGAGAGGCCACTGAGGTTCTCTGGGAGGTTTGGAATACAGGCTTCTCACTTGTGAGGACCTTAGAGCCTGCCTTAACCACAGTGCCTAGAATTGTGGGGGTTTTGGGGACTCAGGTTGGGAGGACTTTCCCAAACAGTGAAGTTTGAAGAAGGATTTGGGAAGAGGAAATTGGTTACAGGTTGGTGGAGGCAGAGGCCCATCTGATCAGTCCCAGCCTGAAACCACTTGGCCCAAAAGCCTGAAGCATTTCCTTGGTAGGTGGGCAGCTTCCATCCAGCCCACGGTCATGATCAAGACTGGAGCTTCAGAGTGTTGTGAGGCTGCTGCAGACACTGGCCTGGTGCAGATGTCTCCTGGGGCTCCTTTTTCTGGTTGCATTGTCAGTGGTTTCAGCTGCCTCAGGGCTGAGGACCCCAGCCTTCTTGCCACCACTCCCTGACTGTGAGAGTCCAGTCTCGGACTTAGCTACTCAATCTGCTCAGAGGTGATGTTGGGAGAACTGTTGGCACAATCACATGGTAGGCGATTCCATGTGTTCACAGAGAAGGATTCAGAAAATACTTGTTCACAAGTTTTGCTGTATCTTCTGCTAATCATCATTAGTGGGTATCCTAGGCTTGGATCAGGCTATCAAGTAGAATTAGGGGTATTTTGGAGCTACTTTTGTATTTTTGTATGAGAACCTAGAACGGGAGGCATAATGTTAAAGCTAGGACTGGGTCCTTTCCCTGAATGCCTTGTGATTTCACCGTAGAATTTTTTCAGCACGTCTGGGCACAGTGGTGTGTGCCTGTTATCCCACCTATTTGGGAGGCTGAAGCAGGAGGATCACAAGTTTGGGGATACCATGGGCAACTCAGCAATACCTTGTTTCAAAATAAAAAGGGCTGGAGATGAAGCATAGTGGTGGTGCACTTTCGTAGCAGTCACAAATCCTTGATTCAATCCTACCACTACAAAGGGTGTGGGATTGTAGGAGCCCTTCTACTTCATCCCTACGAGAACCCTCCCACCCCCTGGTGGTATACTCCCTGGGTTTCCTTTGTCATTCCTTCAGCCTGCCATTCCGCTGCCTAGAGAGCTTCTCTGAAAGATCTAGTGGGCCCCAGGCACCAGTTACCTTATGCTTGCCTTAGCCTTAGCATTGGCTAGATGAAACAGAAGTATGGTTTTTGCCGTAGAAGGGGAGCGGCAAGAGGGGAGAAGAGAGACATGGCAACAGGTGTGTGTGTGGTGGGGGGTTCAGGTTCAGGGAACGCATTCTTTCTGGTGCTTGTACTTCACCCCATCATGGAACAGCCAGGGATGCCTACCTCTGAGTAGTCTGTCCCTCTGACCTGCTTGCTTGCTTTTTAGTAAAAATGGTTGCACGCTGAGAAGGTACGTGTGGGACCAGAACATACCAGTTCAAACTAGTTGCCTTACCCTCAGGCGGGATGGAGAAGGAACCTTCCCCATATTCTGAAGAATCCTAAACTGTACCTCATGCAGACACTCCTTTGAGGTGGCCTTTTCCCTGTGACCCAGTTTGTAGTAGAGTCTCATAAGGGATCTGGTTTGTACACCCATGACTTCCTCCATCTATTCCTCCTGGGAGAGCTTTGGTTGATTGATTGAGACAGGGTCTCACTGAGTTGCCCAGGCTCGGTTTGAACTTGTGATCTCGCTGCCTCAACCTCCCATAGTGCTGGAATTACAAGCACCATCACCTCAGGCTGGGTGCTTCAATAAAAGCATTCAGTTAAAACCAGTTCATCATAGGGCCAGCGATTTAGCTCAGTGGTTCCGCCTCCTGCCTTGCAAGCACAAGGACCCAAGTTCGATCCCTGATACCAGACAAACAAATAAACAAAAAAAACAGTTCATTGTCATGATGCTTTGGATTATGTAACACCAAAGTCTCATTTTTATGGCATTCCATAGCTTTCTTTTCTCCCTTCTAACTTTACTCATTATGCCCTCTGCAGTGAGCAGGTTGGAGCTGATTCTCCCACCTTGACAGATGGGGAACTAAGTTCTAGACAGTAGTGTGCTAGCCCAAAGCCATGATCTTTTTTTGGGTGCAAAGTCAGGAATAAGGGCTCCTAATTTCCAGGGCCTTTTGAGTTTGAAAAGTCAAGCTTTATGTCATTCCCTCAAACTGACCAACTGTTCATTCCCTTAACAGGATTAGTGGTGGTGAATCATTATTTAGCGTTTCAGTTTTTTGCAGAAGAATATTATCCTTTCTCAGAGGTAAGCAGTGTCCAGCACATGCAACTAGTCCTGGGAACGGGGAAATAATGGGACTTGGATGATTTGCATTATAATCTCAGCCATAATCTGAACCTAAGTCTATTCTGAGATCACATCTTAAATAAAGTGAAACATGATATGGATGGTTTTTGAAAGCAGTGTGGCTAAGGAACAGAAGGGATCCCCTCGGCTGAGGTAGAGGGGACACTGCTTTCCTCTAGCAAGTTTTTTGAGTCCCAAATGGGGTTATGCTGAGGCCAGAAGAAATCCTGCACTGGCTTGTCGACACAGACCTCATGGCAGGTGTGGGCTTTTCTCCCAGCGTTTCTCCTCACTCCAGGCCTTCAGTTTGAAGCCCCAGCAAAGAACAGGATCACTGTTTTGGAAAGAGTGAGGCACAGTCGGTCATTGTCTGCTTCTACCTTTCCCCATTGAATTATCTCTCTCTGAGAATGCCCTGGCCTTGCAGAAATGAGGGGCAGACCAAGACCCCTGGTGACCACACCCAGCCCATTTTTGGTGCCTCTCTCATTGCCAGGTCCTGGCCTATTTCACTTTCTGCTTGTGGATAATCCCGTTTGCATTCTTTGTGTCACTTTCGGCTGGGGAGAATGTCCTGCCCTCCACCATGCAGCCAGGAGGTGAGAAGGGGTTTGTGATGGGCCAGGTGGGGGACACCTACAAGGCCTGAGTCATCTGAGGGAACCAGAGTCCAGCCTTGTGATGGGATACTGGGGCTCTGGGTGGGGAGAGCTGTGTAAACACATGCATTCATCTCGTCTGCTCGTCTCCCTGTGTCTCTACAGATGACGTGGTCTCCAATTACTTCACCAAAGGCAAGCGGGGAAAACGCTTAGGGATCCTGGTTGTTTTCTCCTTCATCAAAGAGGCCATTCTACCCAGTCGTCAGAAGATATACTGACCCCTTTGGGGAGGGAATGTGGGGCAAGATCAGCACTCAGGCCCCTGCGCCTCTGTGCTAGGTAGGGGCCAAGAGCCTGGAAGACACCTTCCACCAGCCTTGCTTCCCTTCCCTTGGTCCTGAAGCCCCATCCTCACCCTCCTTGGGGGCTCAGCTTGGCTTTGATCTGATATTGCCAGGGGCTGTAACCTCACAGGGGACCAGGGAGGTGGCAAAGCCTGCTTAGCCAGGTGTCCTAGTTCCCAAGCCTCCTCTCCCCCTCCTGAGGTGGATTGGGAGTTTCAGGCTCAGACGGGGGAGGCAGGGCAGGGTCCATGAAGCTGGAGAATAGCCGGTGACAAGTTCCCTGGGCAGGTGACTGTAGGGAGGGGACATAGCTTGGCACTTCCAAGACAAATGGTTTTCGCTATTTAACTGTGATTTTTGTCCAATTGCTGATTCCCGTTTGAATAAAGATTCTAGGTGGCACTGTTTGCCTTAATACCCCAAAAGTTCATCTTCCTTCTTCCTGCTTTCTGCCTGGAGTGGACTAGCTTCCTGCTCCAGGGACTCCTCTCCTCGGTCTGAGTCTTGCCCTTCTCAAAGGACTTGTCCTTAGTGGGAGGGGGCAGAGATGAGCAGAGCTTGGGTGTGATGTGGGAGGCGGGGGGGGGGCAGCAGTGGCCTTTCTTATGCACCTCCCTCTTCCATCTCTTCTTTCCCCCAGGCTCTTTGGCTGTCACGCTGGAAGTAGGAGAGGAGACAGTTAAGGATTGGGTTAGATTTTCAGAAGATCATCTACAGTATTCTATTTATAAGTCTTCCTCTGAGGGAGAGGAATGATTTCTGGCTGAATTCTATCTCAGGCTTAAAAAAAAAAAAAAAAAAAGGCTTCCAGGCAGCCTGGGTCTAGACTGTTTTCTATGAAATGAGGTTGGTGAGAGAGGCTATTTGTCACTCTAAGAGCACACAAGGTCTGTCACTCTGTTCTGTGTGCTCCTGGCTCCTGGGGAGATGATCTCTGCCTTCCAAGAAGGCAGGCCAGGGCTCAGGCACAGACCAGCATTTGTTGACCTTGCACTCCAACTCTAGTGCCTTGCAAGTACTCAACAGTACATAGTGGAATGGCGTCCTCTTGAGAGCCATCACTGGCCATGTCCTATACCTCACAGTGAGGCTGGCAGGTGCAGGATGCACTACACACCTGTGGCACCTTAAGTCACCGGGAAGACCTCGTGCTTGAACATCTGTAAATCATGCCTGAGATCCCATCATAGCCCTTTATTTCCTTGGCTTTAGCATTTCTGTTCTCTTGAGGATACCTGCCTAACCCTCCCTGGGAGGACCAGCACATTTGGTCTTTGGATGCAAGTGAGATTGCTAGCCCTGTTCTGCTATGCTATGCTGTGCAGACCAAGTAGAGGACATGAGGCTAGTGTCCTCACCAAGGTTGTCAGCTGGGCCCTAGTGTCCCTTGCTGTCGATTTCATTCCTCACCCTGATGAGGTGGCTTTGCCCCCGTGTTCACTCTCCTGCTGGTCAGTGCTCTCTCAGGGTTGGCAGGTGGCCTTCACATGCTAAATCCAGCAGATTCTCCAGACTATCCTGCCAGATCTCAGCAGCAGCTGACATGTTTATCCTGCTTGTTTCTCGAATTGTGCTTCCCTGGCTCTTCTGTGGCACTGGTTGTCCCTCTGTCTCTCTAGCTGCTCCTTTCAGTCTCCTTTTCTTTGGCTTCTCTGCTTACTCCATGCACTAGGGCCTCTCAGGGTTATGTTGTGGGCTCCCTGGAAACCCCATCCATGCGGATGGCTTCAGGGACTCTGCTGCAGAACCAAGTGTTCACTGGTAGCCGCAGCATCCCTCCTGATCTGAATCACGGTCCTGCTGTCTTCTGGGTCCATAGACAACTCAGATTCATGGTAGTCCTCTGTAAACCTGCCTGCCTCATTCGGGTACCTACCTAGGCTGTTACACCACTCAGGAGACAAGAACCTTGCTCTCAAGTTCCTGTTTTCTCTTTCTACCCTCATCCAGTCTCTTAAGAACTATCAAATCTATTTTTTTGACATCTCTTAATTTGAGCCACCCTCATTATCATCAACTTTTACCTGGCTTGTTCTGATAGCTCCCTGCTGCTTCTCTTATCCCATGGCCAGCCAGAGTTGTCTTTCACAATGCAAAACTGATCAAGTCACTCTGGCCTAGTACCTACTATAGCTCCCTACTGCCTTTAGAATAAAGCCCAGACCCTTCAGCATGTGAGTCTCCGATACCCTGGCCCCTTCTCACCTCTGGTCTCATCTCCTCCTTGCACTTTGGGTCCTAGCCTCCTGTAGGCAGAGATACAATGGCTCGTTCTCACCATTTTGATTCCTCTTTTGCTCACTTTGGTACTTTCTCTGTCAGGTCTCAATTTAGATTTTTACTTCCTCTAAGGAGCTTTGAGTATCCCTTCTCCTTCCCTAGCCCCAACACACCACACATCACTTTGGATTTATCTGCCTGCTTTATAATCTATCTCTCCACTAGACTGTAAGCTCCTTGAGGGCAGGGACTGTCCTTGAATTTTTGTATCAGCAGCGCCTGGTTTGGCACCTGGCACATAGAAAGCACTCAATAAATGTTTCTTTAATGAATGAACTGTAATGTGTACGAGGGGATTGCAGGGGACCCTGGACAGCTTCCTAGAGGAAGTACAGGAGGTTTTGTAGTCTCACGTCAAAACTGCAGATCTTCCCTCTCTCTAGATGTGTTGCCTGTGCTGCTTTGAATGGTGGAAACTTCGATGGCAGCTAGAAGTAAGAGACGGTAGTCCATAGGAGCAGGGAATCGCATGCCAGGGTGACAAAACAGCTTTCCTTTGCCCAGTCTGGACCTGCAGAAAAATAGTGAAGTTGGGCATTGATGGTCCACACCTTAATCCCTGCACCCTGGGAGGCTGAGGCAGGAGAATCCCGAGTTGGAATCCAGCCTGGCCCATTCAGCTACTTAGTGAGACCTTGTCTTAAAAAAAAAAACAAAAATAAAACAGCCCCCAAAAATCAAAACAAAAAAGGTGTGGGCTCTAGCTCCATGTGAAGGCCCTGGGTTCAATCTCCAGTGCCACAAAGGGTGAAGGAGGCTTAGCACCTACAACAAAAAAGAACTTAATTTGAGTCAGAATGTCCAGGAGTCCTTTCATCCCGGTGCACTGGGGTAGGAGAAAGCAGTGGGAAAACAAAGTGTTACTTTTACATTGTTAGGGCCTAGAGTAGTGATGGCATCCAATCTGAACCTTGAAGCTCTTCCCTCTTGGGTTCTCGGGGGAGCCAAGATATTCTGAGAGAGAAGGGAGCCCTGGGGTCTGGGCTTCGGCAGGGCAGACAGATACTGTCCTGGAGCCTGGGAGTGGGAAGCCCATAGGCAGCCCTCCCTCTTTCCTCCACAGCACGAATCAACACACTTTAGCCTTCACTGGGCAGCCTTGGGTACAGGTGCTACCAAAATACCTTTATAAGGCAGCTGGAGAGGAGGGCAAGGCAGGGAGCCCTCCATGAGCTTGCATAGATGCCAGGAAGGCTTTGTCAAATGTCTCACGCAGGTTCATGGCCATAGTGTCAGTCCAGAAGGTGTCCTGCCCCGGATGCCGCCTCTGGGGTATGTCCAGTATGCTCTTTACACAAAATCCCTGGGGCACCTTCATCCTGTATGGCCGCACTCCTGGGTGCAGCATGCGGACCATCACTTCAAAAGGGAGCTGCGGTATGGGCGCCACCCAGTGGCCATCCACTGTGCGCAGCTGCGCACCACCGTGTGCGTTCCGTGTCACCTCCACGAAGTTGCGGAAATCGTGCTCCTGACAGGGGTCGGGGTGAACACCCAGACGGATGTCCTGTGGGCAGCTGATGCTGAATGGGCAGGATCTGGCAGGGTTATTGCTAAGATTCCACAACTTGGGCCGACTGATTTTAGGCTGCCTGTAGATTGGCTTGGGTGGCACCTTGGGCTGAGGCGTGCTTTTCAGGCGGGCCTCCACGAAACGGTAGAAGCTCTTGGAAATCTGGGATCCTGGGGTCTTACAAAGGGCACTGGGGCAAGTTGGGGCACCAGCCTCTTGCTTACGGTTGGAGACTGAGGATTGAAGCAGCTTGCGATGAAGCCATTTCCTGAAATCCTCCTCTCTCAGGAGTTGGTGTTCTTTCTGCAACAAAAGGCACACAACTGTGGCAGAGGGCTGTTCTTGTGTCTATGTGAAATGAGGCCTTGTGGCTGCAGTCCTTGGGAACCTCAGGCCTAACTGGTAAAACACTATCCTTGCTACAGGGAACACCTAAATTTGATGAGAGGAACACCTACCTTACAAGAGCCCTTGTTCTGATGGAGGAGACAATTCTTGCCTAAAGGGAGCTACTGGACTGATGGGGAGAGAAAGAGCCTCTTCCATAGGGGAGCCTCCACCTTGACTGGGGACAATACAGCCTCTGACTTAGGGGAACCTCCAGCTAGTGCAGGGAGACAATCTCCACCCCAAGGAAAACACATGGGGAAAAAATTTCCCTCTCCTAGAGGAATCCCCAGTCTGATATAGCCTGCCATATGTAAGTCTCTGGTTTAATGGGGGAATAGGCAAATGAGAAGTGAGACCCTGGAAAGACAAAGTAGAAAGGTTTGGAGGTCCTAGAATTGGGTAGATCTAATCTGGACAGGTGTCTTGGAAGCAGTGGACCTAGTCATATAGGGGAAGTTCCAGTCAGCTGGCTGGGAGGCAGTGACTGCTCAACTCTGTCCTTGCCTCCATTGGAATTGAACCTTCCTCCTGTCCCAGAACTTTCTCACCCTGTTTATCTTAGTATCTTATTCCCAGTCTGTTGCTAAGCAATCAGATGCTTTGGAGATTGACCTAGCTTCAGGGTTTGCTGTGATTAGTCTAAGCCAATCCTAATTCCATCAGCCTCACCCCACATCTAAGTCAATGGGCAGATGGCTTTCCTTTACTTCTAGTCATTGGAGCAAGAATGGACACATGATTGAGGTCTGCAAGTGAAGGGAAAGGACCACAGGAAACAGATGGGTTCTGCCTCCTCTGGATTTTTGTGTGGCCATGGGGTCTGGGTGACACAGACAATGAGGAATGTAAGGAATAAAGCTGGAGTTGTGGAGTAGTAGTAGGGCTCTGAAGCCTTCCCCACTTTGGGATCCACTTATAATTCCAAGCATTTTTCAGGGCTTTCTGTTTTTTGCATCCTATATAATTGTACCTATATAATTTCTTAAAATCTCTCATTGATCTGGACCCCTGCCAAATCTAATTTGTCTGTCTCCAACTCACATCTGGTCTCCATCTGTTCTCTGTGTATATCGTGTTCCCATATGCTCCTGTGCCTTTCCACGCAGCTATTCCCTCTGTGTGGTCAGCCTTTCCTTACTTCTTCATATGGCCAACCGCCTATCTTCAAAGACTCCCCCTAAGCATCCCTTCCAGGACCACCTGGACTCCCACAGGAATGTAACCTGCTTCCTTCCAAGACTCTAAGCAACAGTAGTGGGGACCGCACCTTGGATGTCTGGCAGGTGCCTAGTGAGGGCTAAGTATCCACTGGGAAAAAGAATGAGTCTTCTTTTCATCCTGCAGTTTTGGAGATTGAATCCAGAACTTTCCCAGCCCTTTTTATTTCATTTTGTTTTTAATTTTGAGACAAGTTCTCACTAAGTCACAAAATTACCCAGGCCGGGCTCCAACTTCCAGTCCTTCTGCCTCAGCCCCCCAGAGTCCTGGGATTGTAGGCATGCACCACCATGGCCAGCCTTGAGCCTTCTTATCTGTAATGTGAATCCCAGTGACATATGGGGCCTGCTCTTATGACAGTCTCATTTGGAAGCAGGGTAGTACACTGGGCTCATGATTACTTGTTGATTTGTTATGTTTGCTTTCTGGCATAGGACAATACTTGTGACCTAGAGAAGGGGCTCACGAGGGAGGAATTTTGGCAGAATAGTGAGGAGTGGGAGATTCTTCCTAGGTTTGAGTGTTTCTAGCTACCCTTCTCACAACTGAGGGTCCCTCCTCTGCTCACAAGCCCACATAGCAGCTGGCGCCTGCCCTGCCCACTTGCCCTTACTTGATACTCAAGCAGGTAGTTTTGCTCCATGAGTGTCAGCTGGTCCTTGAGGCGCTTCAGTTTCCTCATCTCACAAGCAAAATCCTTCTTGTCCTGTTTCCACATGGCATCCTTCAAGAACCTGGCCCCAAGGTGGAGGTGTGGGAGTGTCATCCTACAGAGACTAAGCTTCCAAGTGGGTGGGGAGTATGGCAAACACTGAGGGCCTGGATGGGGTGGGAGGTGCTGCTGGAGTAGGGATGAGCAAGATGACCCATCCCCATTGTCAGGGTTCTTTGGCTAACTTCTTCCTTTGAGGGGAAAGGGGAATGTGATGGCTTGGTCATTGTCCTCCTGCTGAGCAGCCAGGGGCCCCAGGGCAAAGGAGGAGGACAGAGTTCAACCTAAAAGAGCAAGACCTGGCAAAAGCCCTGCCAGTAATGTCCTGGGCAGGGGTCCCCCTCAGGCTTGTCCCTTGTCACCTGGTTACCCAGACCCAGCCTTGGATGAGGACCCTGGGGTAGGGGTGAGAGAGGGGATGGGTAAGGAGGAGGGGTGGCAGACTTCAGGTGGTTCTCACACCCTCACCGGGCACAGGCACGGTGGTTCCATATTTTGCAGTAGTCGATGGGCTTGCAGCCTGTGGCATCCTGGGCACGGACATTGGCACCACTCTGCACCAGGGTCTTCATGCAGCCCAGCAAGCCTTCTTGGGCTGCCAGGTGCAGGGGTGTGAAGCCATTGCCTGTCCGACTGGAGGGCCCCAACAGGAGGGAAGAGGGCAGAAAGGAAGGACAGAGCATTGCTCATCAGACAGGTGGGCAAACCAGCTTCCAGACCCCACTCTGCCACCAGTTTCCCGGGTGGTCCTGGCCATGTCTCTTGTCCTCTCTGGACCTCAAGTTCCTACAGGGAGGAACTGGACTAAATGGACAGAGAAAATTCTGACTATAAGAGGTACGTGACAGATAAGAACCACTGGAAGGAAAGCTGGGTTGGTTCAAAAGCCACTAACCTCATCTATTCTTCCCCATGCCTTGCCATGGCCCACAAGGTCCAAAGATCCTGGAGTCTGTCTCTTCCTCAACCTCATCCTCTGCCTGCCACTCTCTTTCCCAAACATGCCCTTTGATATGTTGCCGCCTCTGCCTGCAACACATCTCACTGGCCCTTTGCAATGGCTGTCTCCCTTAATCTCCATTCCTTAGAGATGATTGCCTCCTCCAAAGTACATCCTCCTCTTGCCTCTTTGCTCCCACTCCATCACCCTGTTTATTTCCTTTCTAACCACTTCCCATGATTTGTCAGAATTTGTTCAATTATTAGTTTACTGATTTATTGCCTACTCCTGCACTAGAATGTTAGCTTCATGAGGCCGTGGTATGTTTCTGTGTATTTGCTGCTATAGTCTGATTCCAGATGTGCTTAGTAGCACACACTCAATAAATATTTTGAATGAAAGTTTCTTATATGTCATGCATTTTCTCAGTTATCACAGTAGCACCACACAATGAATAGTGTCATTCTCCCAAATCCCAGATGGAAATACTGCCAGTCGTCCTGAACTTGTTTGCAAATTAGAAACACCCAGGGATCTTTTGCAACTTCCAAAGCCTGGGCCATGCTACAGATCCATTAAATCACAGCCTTCAAAATGGAACACAGAGGGCCAGGGGTTTAGCTCAGTGGAATGCCCCACCTCAAAAGTGCAAGGTACTGAGTTCGATCCCTGGTACCAGAAAAAACAAACAAAAACAAAATAGAACACTGGGGATTCTAAAGTCCACATGAGTTTGGAAGCCAGAGCACTGAAACTTACAGGCTGGGTAACTCGCCTAAGGTTCCACTGTCTCCTACCAAGTGGCAACGCCAGGATGTGAACTGGGTCTGTCCTCTTCCAGAGGCTAATTTCTTACCCACTACACCATGTAAGCTCACTCACTGCTTTACGTGGGACATAATCCCAGCCCTATCCCCAGTCCCCAAATACTCCTCTGCTGGTCTTGCAGAGGGTTGCCTGCTTGGGAGCAGAGTTCCCACCTGCCCAGGCTCCAGGCCTCTCTCCCAAAGCAGGCTGGACTCACCTGTTGATGGAGGCCCCCTTCTTGAGCAAGTAGAGAATGCAGGGGACAGCCATGGTCTTGTTGTCCTTATGCATGACGAGATGCAGGGGGGTCTGGCCACTGTAGGTGGGCAGGTCCACTGGAACCTTGTACTCCTCTATCAAAACCTTCATGCATGCGAGCTTGCCCCGCTGGGCTGCGAAGTGGATGGCAGTGAACCCCTGCAGCATTCAGAGTGGGGCGGAAGGCTGAGCAGCATTGGGTCCCAAAGGACCACCACCTAGTCGATACAGCCATTCCTTGGGGTTACCCTTTCTTTCTTGCCTGGGCGGATGCTTACACCCCTTCCTACTCCTGGTGTGTGCTCTTCACCTTACCCTGCCTTCCTGCCCCAAGGTGGCCTGGGGAAGGTGAGTCAGGACTATTCACACAGAAAGACTTCTCTGGAAACCCCAGTCAGACCTTCAAAAGGTGGTCACTGCATGAGGAGCTCTTTGCAATGGACGTAGTCCCTGCCCGCACCGCAAGGCCTCACCTTGCGGTCTCTCTGGATCTCCCCGTGGTCCTGATTCAGACAGAATCGCAGCCATTCCACGTTGCCCACCGCAGCCGCAAACAGCTGGGAGTAGTTCCTCGACGACTCAGGGATGGAAGCGCTGGAGTCAGCGCAGGTGGGGTCGGGACAGTCACCCCGTCACCTCCAGCAACGACGCGCTGGCCCCAGCCGTGCCTTAGAGGCCGCAGTCTCCCCGCCCCCCCGTGGTCCTGATTCAGACAGAATCGCAGCCATTCCACGTTGCCCACCGCAGCCGCAAACAGCTGGGAGTAGTTCCTCGACGACTCAGGGATGGAAGCGCTGGAGTCAGCGCAGGTGGGGTCGGGACAGTCACCCCGTCACCTCCAGCAACGACGCGCTGGCCCCAGCCGTGCCTTAGAGGCCGCAGTCTCCCCGCCCCCCGCAGCCTGGCCCCCTTCTCCCACCCACCTGGATCGCGTGGTCTCGAGGTCACTCGGAGTGACCTTCAGGAAGGCTTTGTCCGCTCGCCGCCGGGAGCCGGGCTGCACTCCTCTCCGTTCTTCCTCTCCCGGGTCCAGGGTCCCTGTCTGGGTCCGGACAGAGGTCGCGGCGGGGCTGCAACTCTGCGCTGGAGCCCGGGGACGGACTGCGGGCGCCTCCCCACCAGCCTCTCCCCTCGGGGCGTCGTCTCTGCT